CAATAACCTGATGTCTAGTTTAAACTGCTTTAATCTTTGAAGTGGAAGAAATTTACCATTAATACCATGTTTGTTTTGAAGTCAATACTTGCAGCATTTCCAATATGCCTGAATGGTTATAAGGAGTTCTTTATGTAGACACTATTTCCTCAAAATTCAACAAAGAAATGCTATTCTCAATGTAAGCATTTTCCTTCCTATTAACTTCCCCTCATCAATTTTTCATTAACAATTGAAATTATTAAACTGAACTCTACTGCCATCTGCTGGGAAAAAAATCTGGTTTTAATTACATTACCAACTCAGTAATGCTCAGGTTTTATTAACTAGATGGTTACTATTAATACCAGTCAAGCAAAGGTGTACTAAATGAAACAGGAAATAAAACTAAGCTAATTTAAGATTGTTAATCACCATGTGATAAATCTAAGGAAAGGTTTCTCAGTCCATTTCTCTAGCTGGTCAAACCATATTTCAGTGGCTTAACACACTTTTTCTGAGCACTGTCTGTGGGCTACACACTGTATGCACAAAGCTGCATCTAGTACTTGGACATGGTCCCCTATTGCAAAGAGTGGAGGGTCTGATGGGGAAGATATAAATCTAAACAGATTATTTCAGAAAGTATTCTACCCAGAGCATTTCCTCTCTTGGCAGCAAAGTTGACTGTGCTGTACCCATTGTTCTAATACCTTTGTGGGGGAAATAACCCAGAGCAGAACCATTTTGTCCTTTAGGCAATACAGAGTGCCGTGGGCCTAGAATTTTTCATGGGCTTATGTGTGTATAAAATACAAGAACACAGCAAACTGAAAACATTAAGTTTTAAATTAAATGTCTATGGAACATGTTACCCTCATTATTTTAAAATTCAATGGTTCTCCAACTTGACTGTGATGAGAATACCTAGGGCTGTTAAAGCAGATTGCTGGGTCTCATCACCAGAGTTCCTAACTTAAATTCGGCCCTATATTTGCATTTCTAGCAAGTTCCAGATAATGGTAATTAATGTTGCTGATCCACAGACTGTACTTTGAGAAGCAAGCTTGCGCATGTTAATTCACCTTTTCTGGATGGAGCACCCAGATCGTTCAGAAATTTAGCCGAAGGGACAACTTGAATGAGAGGCATTAAGGATGATAAATTTGGCCTTTTCAAGGAAACAGAAAAGACTGTCACAGCCAGACCCACAGAGGGTCTTTAATATATCTCAATGATATGTGAATGCAAACTAATTTTTAACTGGGCAGGTGAAAACTTGTAAAAGATAAAATAAAACATGCCTTCCTTTATTGTAACAAATGGTAGAAAATGCATGGTTATGTGAGTTATTTAAACTTGGATTGATTCCTAATATAGAACACCCAGGAAATATGCTCATGTGAACAGGAGTATATGACCATACTTACTTGTATCAGCCTTTCTATTTAGGAGTTGAGAACGAATGGGTTTTTTCTATTTCTAATGAATTTTCCAAGATTCCTGGGTCAGTGTCCTTCAGCACTGAAGTGCCCCTGGATAAATGACCTCTAAGGCATTATAGACCCATATATCACTTCATGAAATTCTCATTTAGGAGATGGCAAATAACGATGGCAAATAGGGCAAATGATACCTCTAGTGTTTATTTACTTCTCAGAGCACGCTAAGAAAACATTTTGGAAAAAGGAATGTGATTGATCTGCCTTTGCATGTAAAATGCCTTTAAAGTTGGCTGGCTAATCATTGCTCCTTATAAATTATAAACAAGGGACAAAGGCGTCTAATTTTCCTCACTGAGGTCTTGATGATTCGAGATGACTCAAATTAATTTAGTATTAGTATCTTCCATACAATTCCCATATTACTGGAAGTTTATAACTCTTCGGATTGAAACAAATTCTAAATCCTTGGCAATTTTCCCTTTAAATTTATAAACACATAGCTGTTTCAAGTCCATTTCATTCACTTGCTATAATCATCACCACAGAAAATGGACCACCTCAATCACACTGCCTTGACATTACATGGAATCATGTCACATCTGAAATCAGGCTCCAGTCATTCCAGCTCTTTCATGTTTTTGTTACCAGTTCTTCTGCTCTTTAATTCACACACATCCATCAATTCTTCTAACTCATCAGCCAACTCCTGACATTACTTCTTTCTTCTCTACTGAGTTGGGATTCCATGTTAGATTAATCATCTAGTCCCATGGTATGTAAAGTCAGCTCTGTGGACAGCAGTGAGGGCATCGTCGTGGAGCTGGTTAGAAACACAGATCTCAGGTTCCCCTCAGACATGCATTTTAGAATTATTTTTAACAAGATTCCCAGGTGGTTTGTATCCATCTGGTTGTGAAACTGACCTCAGTGTTTCTTTTTTTAACAAGTTTCCTTGATGCTAACACACTTGAATCTTTACCTGTCTGATATAACAAACACCAGTCCTAGTGAGGTTCGGTATCACTTTGAAATTATTTACCTCCAGATTTTATGGACAGATGTTATCTTACTAATTCTAGCTAGATGCAGTCCTTAGCATATTCTAGCAGCACGATTAATACTGTTTGGATTGAAGTCCTTCAACCTGATTGCCACATAGACCATGAACAATTTACTAAGGTGTCAATGACTCATAGGTTGATGAACTATCTCTTTGAAAATATTTGCATTTTAACAAGGCTCCTAAGGGAAATGGATTTAACATAAATCATTAATAATGTTAATTCTCAGAGTTTTTGAGAAGTTGGCCAAATGAGTGGAAGAAATTGTAGAGGCAAGTGACTTTTTGTCCCCAATTTTCCCTCCTCCTGGCTCATCACCAAGGTGGTCCAAGAGAAAGAACTGGGTGCCCCTGGGTTGGCTGAGTGGCTTTTCAAGTGTCTTCTCCCTGCAGGATTATAAACTCCAATATCTTCAACAAGAATCAGAAACCACAGGTCATGCAAGAGATCTGGGCATTCTTGAAATTTGTGGAATAGGAAAGGAACAGGTGGGAGGTTAACAGAAGTATCTGAATACATTTCCCATAATGGCTTGTCTCATCGCCTGCCCTCTTCACCAGATGCTGAATCATAGGAGTAGGGATGCCTGTTGCTCCCACAGAACCCCTGCCAGACACCTAGCTTACAAGTATACAGGTGTCTAATGAATCTGGGGAATAGAATGGTTTTAAAGCATTGCTCCTGGCATGATTAAATAAAATGCCATGTCTGCAGCATATAAACAGAGCCAGCAGTTTTGAATTACACCAGCAAGGGGGGTGCAGGTTAATTCCTGAATGCTGAATCCTAAGAGATCAGTATTAACCATCAACTTTCACAATGAGTCACATCAGTATTTTTTGGGTTACAAATGCCTTTCTTAATATCCCAGTTCCATCAGACAGGATTAAATTAGGCAACTGTGACACTACTCTATAAACTGATTTATCAAGAGTCCTGCCTTTCCCTGTACTATGACTAAATGTCACACACAAGTTTTTTCTAGCACTTACCTGTAGAGTGATAGAACATTAGCTGCAGATTTAATGTCACAAAGGTTGTAATTTGCATATGGATGAAAAGTCTACATAACGCAGAAATGTGAAATTAAACTGGTTGGCTGTGAGCAGCAGTCCTGTGCAATCCATTTCTCTCTCCTTGTTATTTTACCTCTTGGTTTATTGTTTGCTGCTTTCTCCCATTATTCACAAAATTGTCAAATCAATCCCTGAGGGTGCACTAGCACAGGACTTCAGAAAAACACAGTTTCAGTAGTTTACATGATGGGACCAGGGAAGCCAGTATGTTCTCCACAGTAAAAAGCCAACGTTTTCTCACTTTGTTGATTGACCCTCAGCTTTGGAAGGAAGAGGGTGTGTTTGGTTTGGAAACAGAAAAAGAGCAAATTATCAGGGGACTTGCAGGTTTTTCTCAGTTTAAATGATGCTTATAAGAGCAAACAATATATGGAACTTTTACTGACACTGAATATACAGTGTGAACTATTTGGAAAGAAGAAATGACACAGAAATCATTCTATTTAGAGAGTATGAGGAGAAGGAGGCAGGCAAAGGCCTTTTCTGATGCCAACTTAGAAAAAAGAATTCAAACGACTAGGAGTAAGTCAGGAGGTAGATTACTTCAAGTTTTGTTTGTTCAGGAGATTACAGCTGTGGTGCAATTTAATGCGCTTGTCATGATTCTTCTGCTAGGAAGCAGCCAGGCCAGGGAGCAGCAAGCCAGAGGCCAGTGCTAGCGGGCCTTCCCAGCTGAAATGTCATCTTGAGGAGTTAGCAAGAATGCTCCAGGAATCACTCTGGAGCCTCAGGGGGCTCTGTGCTCCCTATGCCTGACCGCCTGCCTCCGAAGGTGTGGTACTACCTATACTTTCATTCAAGGGAGCCAAATAAAAATAACTGCACTTATCCTTAGTATTATGAGTCACTCAAACAATACACTAGAGCTATAAAGGGCATTTTAATCATATGTACCATGTACCAGAGGACAAACTCTAATTCAGGGATGAAAACAAGTGTTTTTTAATTTGGCAAAGCTCTGTTGTGCTAAGTGACACGACACAGCAGTGTCACGAAAATAAGTGGCACAAAGTCATGCCAGATGATTCAGGACAACTTTTTCCAACCTCTGCATATAGATTTTATAATTATGCCTCATTTAATCTCCTCCTCTATTCAATGTTCCTTTCAGAATTGGTCAGCAGGGAAATCAATTTCTAGAATTAGGCCTTTAGTTATTAGCCACAGGGTGGATTCTCATATACACGAGAGAGTTAGTACACTGCTCTGCTTGGAGCCTCGTAGATTCCTCCTAACTCTATAATGATCAAATTTAAAAATACTTGCCTCTAATAATCTCTGCTTTCAGAAAGTACTACAAATTTTGTTTGATTTGGCAATGAAGAAAAATGTAAGGAACAAACCCTAGGGGAATGAGTGTATAGAGAAAAACCACCATTTACCACTGAAGAAGAATATTTCTTAAGTTTAAACCAAAGCAAACAAATAGCCCATGACAGTATATAGTGCTAATAAAATTTTATTGAGGATTAGTAAGTCAAATCTTTTACATAACACAGAAATACATAATACCCAGCCCTTCCCAATAAATGGCAATATAACATCGGGGTGGGTTTCCCGAATATTCCCAACACTATTTCATACCTGTATGAGAGAAACAGTTCTACAGCTTAGCAATACCGACAGGGGGCGCTCTGACCTATTCAGGGGACGCAGAGGTAGAATCAGCGTGAGCAATAACGGACTACAGATGAGTTCTAGTAGCCAAAGGAGATGAATAATGTTCGCTCTTCACATTTTGTATTTTAAAATCAGCTAGAAAAGGCAGGGCATCCTATGATCAGACACAAATTAACCTGAGGACACAGGAGCAGACTATGTCTCTCAATTCAGTCACGTTGGGAAGCGGTAATAAGGACAGAAAATGGCCTGGGATCCCTTTTACCTAAAACTCTACCTACCATGAAGGCTTTTGATGCCAAATGACTGAAACTGGCATCAAAGATGAAAAGGGAGCCAAATGACTCTAAGGATTATTGATTGACAACTTGGATGAGCCCAAAGCCCGTGGGGAAGATGGAAATGGTTGTGATAACGTTAACACTTGTTACGTGATGAACCGTTAACTACCGCAGTTCCTCATCGCTGCAGGAACAGAAGCACATGACACGGTAACTGCACACTGCTTGACAAGAGTTTATGGTTTTACTACCTTGTCTTTGCATGGAAGTAAGAGGTGCTATTGGGTTTTCTGGGAAGTAAGCAACTACTGGGAAGGTTTTTTAGCGAAAAGAAAAATTTCTGAGAGAAAAATGATATAACAGAAATAGAACTGAAATGATACCTCTTTGTAAAACTAAGAAATCTAATATGAAACTTTCAGTTCATGCATGACTCATGGTGTCAGGGTACTGGTCTTAGTTTTTCTAGCGTTTAAGTTTAGAATCCCAACAAACTTACTTGCCTCTTGAGCATAAATAAGACAAATAATGGCATAAATATACAGTCCTGCCAGTTCAATAAGTCCTAAAAAGCTGAAGAAGAATGAAATGTGCATCATGCTCAGATTGATGAACTTGTTAATGGATGACAGCAGCTAAACTGCAGCCCAAATATTAAGAATCTTATTCAAATGCTCTGCTCCCTTCCCTGAAGTCTTCCTGGGGTTGAATTACTCAAGATGTTTGGAGAAGCCCTGTGATCAAATCTCCTCTGGCTAAAAGAAAGTGTGTTTTGCGTTTTCCCTTGGTTAGTAATTATAGTGGCTAAAAGTACAGGCGCAGTAGAGTAAGACATTTAACTAAGCCAAATGGGTTTTATTTTTTCAAGTCGGATACCCTGCCCAAGGCAAATTGGCTCTTCTGTGAATGCCAACACCGTTGATCTGGAACATTCACGAGAAAGGCACAGACTGCACACAGCTTACCAGCAGTACTTCCAAAATCCGAGAGGCGCAAGGTTGTCCTCGACTAGCACAAGTCACAGAAGAATAAGCTAATCTTAAAAGTTGAGCAGTGGGCAGCTTTTTATATCCTACTGTCAGGAGCCTTTAGAAGGGTCAATTTCCAATAATATTAGCTATTTTGGTGTTAGGTGGAAAATAATAGGAGACTTCTACCCACGGGAGCCAACATGTACTCAGTGGGGATTTGGTTCAAAGTTCCATTAAAAATAGCCCGATTTTGTGACTGAGAGAGCCACAAAATAGGCAGATTTAAAATTCTCGGACACTGGTTTTTAAAGCTGCAAGTTTTTCTAAAATCAGTCAAAACATATACAAGATGAAACAAGCCTGTGAAAGGCAGCGAGCGAAGGAGGAGTGGGAGCTGATGAGTCAAAACATTTGTACAGAAGTTGAAGCACCAGAAATTCTTCACCTACCATAAATACATCATGAACTGAGGGCTCAGAAAGGGATGAATGGTAAGCCTTGGCTATGCAAAGAGACAGGATCCATCTGTCCTAGGCACAATCACTGGATGATACTTCCTAAATAAACAGCACTTCTATCAAAAGTTCAGCGTTTTTGTCCAAGTTATTGACTACATTGTATAGCACCCCAGCCCCTTTTTATACAGCATGTACTATTTAGTTGAAAGACCAATATCCACATTGGTTGACAGAAAGGAGAGCATCTTATGGCTTGTACCAAACAGTCAGTGCTAAAGCAAAGTCACTGCCAAGTCTAAGTAAGTAAAACACAAGTCAAAGTTTGGGAACTCAGATGGACAGGGGAGGACTCAAATCTTACACCACAATAAAATTAACACACAGATAATATGTTTCCTGATCTTACATTAATTTAAGAAAAAAAATTAAAGCAAACAGTCCCAAATACACCAGCTTATTTTAGAGAAAACAAACTCTTTTTGTTAGCTTATTCTGAACTAACCTTCCAATCAGAATTTTAACGACCATCATTTCATTTAGAAGGTTTTTCATAAAAATACTGGCATATAGAGCCTGGACACTTTATTACCAAAAAGAGGCAAACTTGAAAGTATGTTTACCTCTAGTTGAAATAAGCACTGTGAATTTGAAAAAGGGTAGTGCGGTCCCGAGCCCAAGGTGCAACTCTTGCTACTTTTTGTCCTGGAAGCATATATTTTTGTCCCCTCATCATCAACTACCTCAACAAATGCAAAGTCATAAAACTGTCCTATTGAAGGAAAAATACTAAAGAGGTAGAGGGCCATATCCAACAACAATAATGTATTCTTCTTTCTGGATATTTAGTTTCTTTTAAACATTTTTAGAGCAGTAACAGTTATATTCATTAGCCTAAATAAGAGTAAGATTTCCTCCAAGTTCTGAAATATATATACACATATACCCTCAAAATACTGTACAAATCATCCACCCTTCCTTTAGGAAGAAACTGAAGTTAAAGTTAAAAGATATCCTTGGATATTTAAAACAAAACTAAGGAACTGAACAAAAGACAACTTCTAAAAAAAAAAAAGCAACTAATTCAAGTACACAGTTTGACTCTGCATTTCCTTGAAAAGCAATGAAAATACTTAGTCCAGGAATGATGTACAGCAACAGCCATGCAGCAGGTTGCAGGAGGCACACTTTCCTTTTATAATTCAAATGCAGGGAACCTGGCTTTTGTGGGCACCAGGAGGTCAGCCAGGAAATATATTGTTCCAGCCATTCCTGAAGGAGAAGAGGCAGAAGTTATTACACCAAGTGACTCGTTTTACAGAATGGCTTTATTTTGTAGCATCAACATTACAGTATTAATGGCATGATTTAAATGAAGTGGGCATCTGTCTATATTCACAAATGCTGCAGTTCAAGAGATCACTAGTGAGGTGCTCAACCTCTCCATCCAGGTGGAAGACAGGAGGGAGAATGGAGCCAGACAAGTCCCAGGGGAGCCTGACATTCACCAAACGTGAGCTCCTACATATGGCACCATGGGCGCCCCACCCGTCTGAACCTCAGGATCCTCACCTGCAACATGGGGATAATACTGCCTAGATGTTTTTGCTGAGATGATTTATGAAGCCATCTGCAAAATGCCCAGAATGTGCCTGGCTCCATAAACGGTAGTCACCATTATGACACCAGTCGTAGGACTGCGGTAGTCCTTGTGCTGATTGATTTTTCATACTGAGCAGTCATATTATGAAATAGAGGTAGTTTAAGAAGGGCCTATACAGTTAATTTGTTGATAAAGCTCAAATTCAAATACATTAATTACCAACCAGAGAAGTAGATGCTGATATCATAAGTTAAATAAATAATGTGTGAAAAATACCTTCAAAGAGTGAGAAAGGAGTGTCTGGTGTCCTGCACCCATGTTCGCCATAATCTAAGCACCACTCAGCAAACTGCAAATGAAAACGAGTTACATTACTATAGTGATTCTTCCAGAGCCCCCCAAAAGCTGATAAGAGACTGTCCATAAGGATTACTCTGAAGAATAAGAAAACTATCTTTAAGGCAGAGAAAAGTGGTTAATGTAGAGGAACCTATGGTCTGGAAACGAGTCCAAAGCACAGGAGGAGTTTAATGAGCTGTCTGAGCCGCTCATCTCCAAGGTTATCACAGAAGAGAGGAAGGCGCAAAACCACCCTACAGCTTTCTTTTCCCTGCCCATAAATGCTGCTGAATCGAATTACATCCTTTTAAAGGAAAGCTAATTCAGCTGAATGGCTTTTGAAGGTTTTTCTCAAATGACTATGTTTGTTCTATAGACTCATGGTTTAAAATACAGATGAATTAAATCAGATTAACTGGAGCCCTTTCCACAGCCTTCCGGTGGCTCAGACTCCTACCTTACAGGCCCTGTACAGGTACTTCATATCCTGCGTGAGGTTGTACAGCACCAAGAAGGCATAGGCATTCCCCGCCGAGCCATGGCACAGCCCGTACCCCTTCTTCAGCAACCCATACTGCCAGATCAGATCAGCAGATTGATAGGCATCCCTGAGATACCGCTCCTCTCTGAACACCTGCAGAGTCAAGGGTACAGTTTTATTATGAGGGATGTAAAAGACATTCGTTGACATTCCTTCCTCAGGAAAGGTGGGGAGATGGCGAAGGAAGGAGAGAGGGAGGTAGGTGGCTTGGTAAGAATGGGCAAGGATTTAGGGCCAGAGAGATGTGTCTTATCAGGGACAATAAACAATACAAAACAATACAAAAACTTGTCTGAATGTTCTAAGTTTTATACATGTGTGTTTGTATTTTACTTGAAAATTGCTGTTACCATTAGTCACTTTGTAAAGAACACATATTAACTTCTTCGGTGGTAAAGATGCCCTTCGCTATTAGGAAGTTTCTTTACATGCTGGAGTAGAAATTGTTTATAAAATTGATTACAAAAACTGATTTGGTTATAAAACACTAAACTTTGTCAGAAAGATAGATATATACCTTTACATCTTTTGTGGCATCCTATAAAGGACTTCATCAAAGACTTGAGAAATACTCTGAGTAGACATTTTTGATATCTCATAGCAAACTAAGAGGTCTTAAAAGTAGAATAAGGCCATTTTAAAAGTTTTTCCATGATATCCAACATTCTGAAAGTAGAATGTGATATACCAAAAGCTTATTTAGATGATGATATGCAAGTGTCTGTGAATTTATAAATCTATGTGCAGTGGCCACAGGCAGGAGGCGGTGGAGGCAGGGAGTTAGGCTGTAGTGACGGTAGGGCTTTCACAGATACTGATCGCACACTAAGTTCTTTAGGGCATATATAGATTTCACTTTACCCATATTTAGATGATGATATGTGAGTGTCTGTGGATTTATAAATCTATGGATTTACAATTTGTAGATTTGGCACCAATGGACATAGCGATCTTGGTTCACTCCTTTTTTTTCTTAATCAAATAAAAGCCTTTTTTTATTTGATTGTGGTTCTGCTATAGCAAACATTTTAGAAGTGATATTTGCACTTTAAAAAAAACTATGGTAAATTATACAGAATATGAATTACCATTTTAATCATTTAAAATGTACAATTCAGTGGCATTAATTACATTCACAATGTTGTATAAACATCATTATTTCCAACACTTTTTCATTATCCCAAACAGAAGCTCTAACTCACTGCCCAATAATCCCCCATTCCTTGCCATCCTCAGCCCTAGGCCCTGGTAACTTCTGGTGTATTTTCTTTCTGTGTGAATTTGCCTGTTCTAGAAACCTCATATTAACCATCATATCATAAAAGTGCAATCATACAGTATTTGTCCTTTGTAGGTTCTATTTCACTGACCATAATGTTTTTAAGGTTCATGCATGTTGCAGGAGAGATCAGGAGTTCATTCTTTGTATGGCCGAGTAATAGACCATTGTGTGTATGTACCACATTTTGCCTACCCATCATTCCTCTGTTGATGGACATTTAGATTGTTTCCACCTTTTGGCTACTGGGAATAATGCTGCTATGGAACACCGGTGTACAAGTATTTGTTCGAATTCTTGTTTTTCTCTCTTTTGGGTATATACCTATGAGTGGAACCGCTGTTACTGTATGTTAATTCTATGTTTAATTTTCTGAGAACTGCCAAGCTGCTTTCTATGGCAGCTGTACCATTTTACATTCCCACCAGCAATACATGAGAAGGTTCTTTCTAACTTTAATTGAACACCTGAGATACTTACCTTGGCTCTGCCACTGACGCTGCTATCTTGGCTACCCCACCTGTCACTGCAGCAGTCTCCGGCCCTGTGAAATAATGTGTGCTCTGGTATAGATGGGTGCCATGAGAACGACCTGTAGTCCATTTAGCAAAGTGACCTTCAGTCCAACAAGTGATTCATCTATTGTTCCTTTATGGGTAATAGAATTTTATGTTTTCCAATTTGTTTCTAAAATAGGAAAATTCACAGTACCTTATAGGCCTGGATAAGCATGTAGATTACGCCAGGTGAACCATGGCACCAGTGGACTAGCAGATCTCGATTATCATCTATACAAGGAGGGTAATTTCCAGATGGGAACTTCAGCTGGCAGACATAGTCTACACTGGGCTTCACCAAACTATGTAACTTTGCATGGCTCACTTGAAGGCTGGGCTAAAAATGAGATAAAGAACCATTAGTTCTGTTGAAGCAAACAGACCTTTCGAAGACTCAGGGATGAATTTTAAACCAGGAAGAAAACATAACCAAAAGAAATTGGAAGTCATTAGAAGATTTTGAATTCCATCCAATTTTTTCACCTACTGGAACAAACTAAAATTAGGCTTGTTCTTGGGACCATCTATAGGAATTACTTTTCAATATTTATTCTTATCTACATAAATATGAACAATTTTCCTAAGTCAAAACTCTAGAATGTGACTATAAGAGAAGTTTCCTGAGGTTTCTAATACCTTAAGCATACTTTAAAGGCTTTCACAAACAGATTCATTAGACAAACTAAGTGAAACTTTCATTACATTTAGAAAACTGGGAGATGATACTTCCAAAAGAGGAGGACTCCAACAAGCTAGGAGAGCTGGAATCTAGATCCCAATTCGCATTGTCAGTCTAGATCTAGTCTTTCTGCAGAGGATTTGGGACTGACACTTATATAGGATTATTTTGATATAATATACAAATTTGTAGGACATGTTAACAAGGGGCATATGGGCCCTCATTTTGGATATAGTTTTTAGTTTCTCCTTTTGGTCTTTGGTCTCACTCCTAACTGAATGCACTGCTCACTTTTTCAGACAACAAATTCAAAGTGTTGTCTTTGCCAGGCAGGGAGTGGAGTGTGGGGATGAAGGGTAGGCACAGGCAGGAGGCGGTGGAGGCAGGGAGCTAGGCCATGGTGACGGTAGGGCTTTCACAGATACTGACTGTGCACTAAGTTCTTTAGGGCATATATAGATTTCACTTTATCCAATGAATACTGTTCAAGCTCAGTTTAAATGCTAGAGTAGAATGAGTAGATTCTCCTCAACCTTATGTAACTATCCAAAATGGCCTAAAACCACTGTTTTGTTTTATGTTGATCCACAAGCACGTACTGGAATGGACCTTTAGGATTAAAATAAACCATGTCAAACAGGTAATAATCTGCCATTAGAAAGTGTGGTATGTGGGTTTCCAGATTTCTTACTGTAGCCAAGGTAAGGCGGCTGAGCCTAAGTTGCCTCCTGAGGATTTGTCTCTGTGCAATGCCAGGAGGCCACCCATTCACCGACACCTGGGACACTACCCTCACAGCTTCAGAAGACATGAATTCTTCTTTCTTGAAAACCTTTGAGAATCTGTATTTACTTCTGGAAATAGAGAGCCAATAAGTGACTGTGCCAGAAAAATAAAGGCGTCTGAGTCTAAATTGTCCAAACCCCTAATTATAAAACTTGTAATTGAGAAGTGCAGAATAAATAGCAGTTGGTCTCATGTTGCCACTAACAGTCCAGATTTTGCATCAAAAGCAGTGACAACCTTGAGTTTTTCAGCTCCACTGTCACTGTTTGGTTATAGCGAGAGGGCAGGTCTGCCATTGATTTTGCATTATTATAGCAGCCACTCAACCAGCTAGTAGTATGTATATCCAGGCACTCATGTTGCCCATAATAACGAAACACTTTTCTTTATGCCACACTGTACTTTAGGAAGGTGAGGGGAGCACTTTTGCGGCCATTAAAAATCAATTTTCTTTTGCTGTGACTTCTTATTCTTGTTTAAAGTGCCAATTTCTCCTTAGAGAGAGAGAGAGCTAGAGAAGCCCCTGGAAATGATGCTCTCACGAGAAGTCCCCTTCTGACCTCCACTCCAGGTTAGGCTTGCTGCAGTAAATTCTCTGTGTCTGTACTCTATTTGACTTCGGCTGATGTCCCTCAGTAGTATTAGATCTGAAGAACTGTTGGGCATAGCGTACTCAGCTATTTTTCAGGTGAGTCACACAAAATCCATTGAAAAGGCTTCTTGGCTTTCCTAAGTGAGCCTAAGGCAACATATGCTCATTTGTTTTCTATTGATTTTGTTCTTACTCCTGGAATGTTTCAATGGTCATGACTTACAATGCAGAATAGTATTAATTTAAAAAGTTTGCTGAAAGGGAAAAGAAGAGCTGGCACTTCATATGGAGGCACAGTTCAAAACGCTTTAGTCCACCCAGCGGCAACAGGGAGGCAAGTACGGTCACCTACAGATCAAATGCCACCTCAAAGCACAGTGCCTTTTCTGTTTCTACACTTTAAATTGCTCCTTGGCAAACACAGGCCTTGTTGATTTAGCCTAGGTAATTTTAAGAGGGATACAGCGGTGACAGAATGAAACATCAAGCTGGAGTACCTGTCTTCTCACCCCAGAAATACAGTCAGGAAGCTCATTTTAAGTCTCACCATCCTCACCAATTACCTGCATCAGGTAGTAATAAATTCCTGCTAGGCCGTGAGCAGCTCCCACATAATATTCTTGGTACCATTCATACATCAGTGGACTCTTTGCTGTGAAGTTTCTCTTTCTAGCTAGGTGTTCTCCAGAGGTTAATACTGTTTCACAAATCTGCAGGGAGAAAAATATTGAAATAATGAGAATTAGGATAAAAATCTTCCCAGTGGAGGTAAGGAACTTTCGCTAAGAGGAACCAGGGAACTTGGTGAATTAGATACCATTTTCAGGCTGTGGATGGACACAGTTTAATTTTGTGCTCAGTGAGGCTGGGGTGACTGTATTTTGTCTAAAAGAGGTAAGGCATGAAAGATCCTGAACTCTTTACCGGAAGGTCAAGAATGCACTTGTCAAAGGAAAGCATAAATTCCTTCTGCACAAAAGGAGTCCCCTGCATGCGGGAGTGAACCTGGGTCACGTTCTTCTGCAGGGGCCTCTAAACCCTCAATGCAGCAGGTGGGCCTTCCTATTCTGAGTCACCCTCCACAGTGTCTCCAACAGCACTCAGTGTGAAGCTGTTGGTTCTCTGATCATGCCTGACCTTTTGAGGTCACGATACACTGTCTTTCTATCTGGGATGTGTGCTAAGTGGAGAAACAAAACCAGGAATTTAGGCACGTAATAAGTGGGATCCTAAAAAGACTCCGAAGAGCACAAATATGTGGTACCTGCTGAATATGGCTCTGAGGAATCTTTTCCACTCCAAAGTTTTTATTCACAAAGAGAAGCGCATAGATATAGCCCATTCGTCCATACAGCATTTCACTTGGAGCATGGGGATCAACTTTATTTAGGTGAATTAGCCTGGGAATAAAAATACATGTCTAAGATAATCTGAAAGTGATTGGGCAGTGGTATATACTTGCAAATAGTACATTAAAAGTGCACATTCAGCCTCATATCGAATTTACCGAGTATCATAATTCGCCAGGTGGTAAAGATACCTCAAGACAAGTGCTGGGCATAGAAGCCACAGGGCATAAATCTGCAAAGAAGTAAAAAGCTAACCTTTTCAAACAATATGGCTTCTCTCTCACTTACCAACTTTACATTTCCCTGTATGGCCCCGGAAGATGACTGGTTAGCCAGAGACAGGTAAGATTCCTCAAGGGAGGAACAACCTAAGACAGGCACAGTCGCAGGGGGGCCATCAGGTGAGAATTTGGGGATCAACAGAGGTGAGGCTCAGAACCTCACCCCCCCTGCTTTGAGAGAAATCTTCTGCATCCGTGGATGTCTTGCTGCCCTTGTCTAGCCTGGATTAATACTTGGTCCATAGGCACACACCTGATCATCTGATCATCTACATTTGCCCTCTTACAGCACTAAACTATGTTTTCTACCTTTATCTTGCATCTACCTACCACTTCAGCATTTTATTAAAAATAAAAATAATAATAATAATAGGAGAAATGTGGGATCAACATATAAATCAAGTACAAAAATCAAATGAATATTCATATTTGACCTGATGGTTTATAGGTCATATTGCATGATCAAAACCGAAAGTTTCTGTGATGAATGCCCTTGTACTGTTCACCATGTAAGAATTTATTCACTCTGTAAGAATTCGTTCACCATGTAAGAACTTGTTCGTTATGCTTCAGAAGATTGGAGACTGACGAGAATTAGGCTTGAGATGGATTAATGATTGTACATTGAGCATTGACCCCCCTATACTGAATTTTATTGTTGTTAACAACCATTTGATCAATAAATATGAGAGATGCCCTCTCAAAAAAAAAAAAAGTGCACATTCATACAAACATATAATAGTATACTAAATAACTATGTTATTTTAAATACACTATATTTATAATTTAAATACATAAAATATAAATATTTTAATATGTTTATGCTTAAGTTAGTACGTATTATATGTTCAGTATTAAGAAGGCTGGATCAGACCACAAAGAGTAATCAGTGTTCAAAGACTAATAACTCTCAACTACATTTCTTTTTTCAGTTCACAAAGGGGGTGATGAACAAGCAGTTCAAAGAATGAAAGAATGTGCATAGGGCTGAAGCTACCTGGAGACCCCCTGCTTCCTCATGGAGGCACGCTCTAAGGCTAGGGGTCAGAGAAGCTAAGAAATACTGGCTATTAATAGCATTTAGCCTCTAGACAGGACTAAGTCAACACTCAAAAAAAAAAAAAAGTTCCATAAAATGAAATGCCTCCTGTACCCCAGTTATCTCCTTCTTTGGTTGATGTCTGAATGTGTTTACCTGAAATGTCTGTACAGCACCTTGATCGATCACAACTGACAATACATGCAAATGGCACAAAGGTATCAGTTAGTCTCCCTGCTTCCCCAGTCTCCCAGCCTTCTAGGCCTTCTTTTCAGACATAACCATGGTTATCAATTTCTTGTATATTCCTAGAATTATTTTATAAGCACAAATATGCATAATCTATCTCCCCAAATGTTCTATGGCTGGCTATTTAGTACATCTGGACAATCATTCTGTATCAGCACACAAAGAGTAGTCTCATTCTTTATCAGAGTTGCATAGTATTCTATTGAATGGATGTATTATAATTTATTAAGTCCCTATTGATAGACTCATTTCTGCTTTACAAAAGAGGTTCATTTTGGTTTTGGCTCCACGTAAGATGGAGTAAGCACATGCCACCCTGCTTCTTCCAGTACATGCAGCTCCAAAACCTAGAGAGAATCGTGAAGAGCTATTTGAGGACTCTGAAAAATAAACAGTAGGCAGGTGGAACAGGAAGACCAGAATTTGAAGTACTACCAAGCAGAGTTGAGTTCACCGTATTTTCCCCTCTGGTAGTTCCCTGCCTGAATTCAGGACAGCCCTGAACCTGGAAGTAAGCACAAGAGGCCGAGGGACACAGCCCCAGAGGGAGCCCTTTAGTTCTGTCCGAGGAGAGAATGGAACAGGGAGCTCCTAACGTCAGAGTAGCGACACACCTCCTTCTTTACTTCCTTTGCTTTCCTCGGGGCTCTCATACCCAGACCACGAGCACTCACACAGGGGCAGCAGAAGCCAAGGCAGCAGGGGCCGCAGGAGCCAAAGTCCACGGGAAGGACCCTCCCTCACAGATGGGAGGAGCTGTGGCCCCAGAGGGGTGGACCGGGCCCCCCTGCTTCACTTCTCCTGCTACCTCCCCGACACCTGGCCCCAGATACAAGCACCATGGTGGGTAGTACAAGGCAGGGTGGGGAAACCAAAGCCGCTTTTTTTCCACAGGACCAAAGAGGGTCCCCAGGGAACCAGCAAGCTGGTGCAGTTCACCAGGAGATGGGCTCTGGGAAGCAACTACATCTGCAGTCTGAATGCAGAGAATGCACCTTTTTTCCTTTTCTGGGGGTAAAGTGCAGGCAGGGGTGGGGATGACAGGGAAAATGTCCTTGGTATTTTGGATTTTTATCCCATGAAATTTTGAAAGCGTATCTCACTTATCCCTAAATTATCTATAAATTCAATGTGACATCATGTAAGTTGTTAAAACATAATTTTTGGTGAAACTTGACATATTAGCATATTGGAAAAGTCTGAGGGAAGAGCTAGGGAATTTGGGGAAAAGAGCAGCAGTGAGCAGACATCAGCGCTGTCAAACAGTGG